TGACCCAACATATGAAATGTGAGAAGTGGAGAATTTTCTGGTCATGTGGAGACTACGACTAGCCATTAGTATATGTTTCTTCTTTTTACCCGTACCCTCTAGACTGCAGTTTGGGATATACCTACTCAGATGTAGAGAACTCCAACCAACTTTATGAGGTTTCCAAGAAGATCTGCGAGGCGAAACAGAGATTGAGAACTGTGACCCAGTACTACAATGATTTAGTGTTCATATGGATGGAATGCAATATTTACTATGACTACACGTGAGAATCTCCGACAGACATTTCCCTCTTTCAGAATATTGTAGAAAAAGAATGCATGTTTCAATTTCTGGCAAGCCATAACAAAGACCTTGATAAAATCTGCGACCGTATCCTTGGTTGAGATCCTCTTCCTTCCACTCATGCTGGTTTCGCAGAAATTCGACACGAAAAAAAATCAGAGACTTGTCATGCTCGGCACTTCCACTTCAGTCAAGACATTGGCCTTGGTAACTAATAGTACTCAACACTCATCCATGCCATCTCGATTCACCAGCTCCACTTGTGATTACAATCAGAAACCCAACCATACTCAAGAAAAATGTTGGAAACTCCATGGAAACCAACACACAAATCGTCAGCCAATTCTTCCTCTGTTAAAGGTCTCACTACAACAATTGAATTTACTTCAAGTCAACCAACCTCCACTCGGAAAACTCTAGAATCATCCGACTCTCATAAGAGTCAGATGGAACAATTAATTAAACAGCTTGGATCCAGTCAATTCTCTTCAGATCCACCGACCTCCCACATTTGTCAAGGTATCATTCCTATGGCTCTCACTTTTTTTGTCTCTTTCAGTCGATGAATTATTAATTCAGGTGATGCTCTCAAGTTTTCTCGACATATTATCCTTACTCAAAGAAAGAAACAGCTAAAATTGCTGACAGCTAATGTAAATCTATTGTTGGTAAAGGATTAGTTGTATTAACAACCGACCTAACTCTGGAATCTGTGTTGCATGTTCTTGACATATTATCCATTCATATGTATTGTTAGTATGCTGACACATAATATGGATTGTGTTGCTCATTTTTTTCCTAATGTTTGTGTCTTTCAGAATCATTGTTCGGGGAGGATAATTGAAATGCTACGTAAGTAGCCAGGCACTACTTCTTCTAAGAGAAAGGAACGAAGAAAGATGATACTTCTCCCAATTGTTGAAGCATTTCTTAATCCACTGAATGTTTTATTATTTTGTGTTTTCGTTTGGGTCATCCCAATTTTTAATATCTAAAATATTTATATCCGTCAATGTTTACTAATAAAATTTTTTCTAATTTCAAAAGTGAGATTTGTCAATTAGCTAAATAACATCGAGTTCCATATTAACCCCACCCTTCCACGCTTTCTGCTCCTTTTACATTTATTCACAGTGATTTGTGGGACCCCCTCACACACCTAGCTACACTAATAAATGATGGTTATTCAACTTAATTGATGACTACACTCGAATTACATGAGTCTATATCTCAAAAGATCTGAAGTTTCTTTTACCTTTAAAAACTTCCATTCATTCATTTTGACTAAATTCAAAACGACAATTCAGGTCATTTAAACTGACAATGGTCGTGAATTCTTTAGCTTTATTTTAGGTGAATTCTTAGTAAATAAGAGCATCCTCTATCATAGCTCGTGTACGACACTCAATAAAATGAGATAGCCGAGAGAAAAAACTAACACATTCTCAAAGTGGCTCACCCTATTATGTTTCAATCTAATTTCCCGAAAAGATTTTGAAATGATGTTGTACTTATTGTCATATTTCTTATCAATAGTCCGGGCAAAAAGTCATAACTTCATAACCCCTTTAGTCATATTGATGTCATGTTTCCCTACCAATTGGTTATTCACCAATCTTTAACCCAAAATTTTTTGGTGCACGACCTTTGTTCTTTGGTGCACGACCTTTGTTCGAGCACTGCTCTGAATCGTAGTAAGCTCGATCCCAGATCCATAAAATGTGTCTTCCCCTGGATATTATGTCATTCAAAAAAACTATCGGTGTCTTGATCCTACCACAAATAAACTCTATGTGAGTGTTGATGTCTCCTACTTTGATAATGTTCCCTAATTCTCGGTCACTGCTTTAAGTGAGGGAGAACTTGATTTCTTGGATATTATTCCTTATCCGACCCCTGTAGATATTTCTTCAAATACAATACACAAGGATCCATCTGTCCCTCTGCATCCACCACCTCCTAGTCAACCTCCTCCAATCTTCCTTGTATATACTCAGTGCACTCGTCCTAATGTTCCTACTCCAAAGCCCGTTACTGCCTTATAGACCCTGGAATCCACTCCAAGCGACATCCCTATAAATAACCCCACTCCAAATGAGGTGAGTTCTCCCATTGAGGTATGTAATCAGGTAAGCTTTCTTTATTCCATAGAAAAACCTCTCTTCCCACAGTATTCCGCCGACCTACAAAGCATTTGCTACTGCTCTGACGAATTATCATCTTACATCTACTACTGAAGCAGCATTAGCTGACCCTCCTGGAAAGCTGCAGTAATAGATGAGATGAACACCCTTCCGTGGAATCATATATGAGATATTGTGAATCTTCCTCTAGGTACGAAAACAATAGGGTGCAACTGAATTTTTAGTATCAAGTTTAACACTGATGGCTCCTTTGAATGCAATAAGACACAATTGGTTGTCAAAGACTACTCACAAACAAACAGGGATGATTATGAGGAGACATGTGCACCAGTTGGTAAATTGAACACTATTCGGGTCTTACTTTCTCTTTTTGTGAATTTGGGTTGGCCCTTGCTCCAGTTGGATGTCAATAATGTTTTTCTGAATGGGAAAATCAAAAAAGAGGTGTACATGTGCATCCCTCCAGGCTTCGACTCTATTTTCTCCCTGGGTCGAGTGTGTAGACCGTGGAAGTCTCTCTGCGGACTAAGGCAATCCCCAAGGGTTTGGTTCGGCAAGTTCATAAAGGTAACAATGAGTCATGGTTTTTCTCATGCTCAATTTGATCATACTATCTTCATTTAGCATTCCTCCAGTGGCAACATTATAATCCTTATCGTCTATGTCGACGATATTGTGCTCACATGTAATAATTTGTCAGCATTAGAGTCTCTGAAAGGCATCGTCACTACTTCATTTGAAATAAACGACTTAAGATCGCTCTGGTACTTCTTAGACATGGAAGTTACTCAGTTATGTCAAGACATTTGTCGGCCCGAGCACAAATATGTGTTGATCTTTTGACAGGGAATAACCTTCTCCTATGCAAACAAGTGGCGGTTCCAATGGAACCAAATGACAAATTAGCTAATGTTCCCAATGCGGTTCCGGTGAACAAGACTGACTACCGTCTGGTGGGGAAGCTCATTTACCTCAGTCATACTTGCACCGACATTTGTCAAGCAGTAGGTATTGTGAGTCAATTAATGCATGATCCCTATGAGCACCATCTCAGAGTTGTTCACAGGATCCTTCACTACTTACAAGGGCACCGATCTCAGGTTTATTTTTTTCACGTCACACTTCTCGTTCTATTGTTATTTATAAGAATACAAATTGGGTCAGATTCATCCATGATTGACGATCAACCTCAAGAGATTGCTCGTTCGTGTGGAAAAATCTTGTCACGTGAAAAAATAAAAAACAGTCGATTATGGCCTGGAGCAATGATGAAACCAAGTTTCGCTCTATGTCCTTGGGTATCTATGAAGTTCTCTGGTTACTCAACATGCTCCGTGAATTATGTCTGCGAGCCTCTGCTTCTCTGGTTGTTCTGTGATAATAAAGTTGTCATTAATATCGTCTATAATCCGATCAAGCATGATCGCACCAAGCATGTAGAGATTGAAAGACACTTCATCAAGGAAAAGATTGATTCAGAGGAAATTTGTATTCTATTTGTTTAATCCAATGGCCAATTAACTAATATCCTTACAAAAAAACTTCTTCGTCTGTTGTTCGACAACTTCAAATCTAAGTTGAAAATGATAGACATATATACTTGAACTTGAGTGAGAATATTATAATTATTAGCCCAATTATTATAATTATTAGTCTGATTAATGTTGTACAATTATTAGGCTTTATTTGCTTTCATTATTTTCATCTATTTCCATATTTATGTATTTATGAATTTAAATCTTTTTTTTTATGTGGGTCTTGTAATGTTTATTTATGCACCTCTTTCTTATTAATGAACGTACAGAGCTCTAACCTCAAAAGTTAATATATATAAAATGTATAAATATCATTTTATTTTATAATAATTTATAAATAAAGACTTGATTTTAATATGTTTTGAGTATATTTTATATTAATATTTTTTTAAATGAGCCAAATCCAGAGTGAACGACTAGAGTAGGGGCTGACTTGAGCTTGACTTATTAGCTCATAGAGCTCAACTCACTAGCCACTTATGGAGCCAAGTTTGAGACGGCTCATAAGTCAGCTTGAATTAGTTACACCCCTAGTAACATCTAGCCAAAATCTTACATTCAAAAAAATCTTTATAACTCCTTTTCTTTCATATTTGTTTCCCCAAGGAAAATTAAGCCATTATCTGAAATTAAACATAACATTCAAAAATTATCTTGCTTCCAAAATACTTCTTACATTGGAGCTAATAGCCTAAAAAAAGTTTTTAAGTGTTGACACGAAGGGATTGGGTGTAATAAACAGTTACGATGAGATTATTAAGCTCTCTCTCTCTCTCTCTCTCTCTCTCTCTCTTAGAGCCAATAAATCAAGACTTTCTAAGACCATGGATGGAGCAACATGGCATATTTGTCACTAAATCAGCTACCTTTTAGTTTTCAAATTTCCAGTGATCTCAATTCAAGGAGACTTAAAATATTAAAAGCAATAAATATTTATGCTTATGTCTCATTAAACATCAAAAACTCAGAAAATAAATCATCCTGATCTTTCACTTTTGGCACTGTATATTTCTGATGCTATATTGATTATTTTCAGGCTGGTCCTCGAATCTGTTTAGGCAAGGATTTTGCATACAGACAGATGAAGATATTGGCTGCTACTCTCCTCCATTTCTTCAAATTTAAACTCAAAAATGAGTCAATGATTGCTAGATACAAAACCATGTTCACTCTTCATATGGACAAAGGCCTTCCAGTTATTCCACTTCCCAGGTTTTGCTAATATTAGCAACCACTGAACTGCATGATCTTCAATGCACTTCAACGACATCACAGCGTTTCAGACTCATCAAACTCTGCACTCAAGCTTATCCTTTTAAAATTGTTCAGATTACATAACTTACTTGTGGATGTAGAGGAAATGTACTTTATTGTATCATCATGGTTGTCTCCTATTGTATCATGAATTAATCTATCAATATTGGGTTTAGTCATGCATTATATACTTGATGAATATACTAATGAAGAAATATTAGATAATTGACCCTCTAAAATGATTAACTTTTTGGGTCGAAAATGAGTTTGATTATTAATGCCTATAACTCAATTTTAACCACTTTTGATCCATCTATGTAAATTTTCTTTTTCCTAGAGTTATTGGGCCAATGACTGGGATCCAATAACTAAATTAGTAGACTTTAAAGCCATAAGAACTTTTACAAGCTAAAAATTTTACCCAATTCAGTTCCCAATCAACAATCTATTATTGAGTGGTTCATATTTTTTTCAATTGTGCAACTCCCATGAAGGATATTCTGGTCAGTTTAATTTTTTTCTAAAAAAGGTAAATTATACTTTATGTGTATTAGCTTATCATAATGAGCATATAACTCATATCTGATTTAAAAATATAAGATAGCTCATGTATATTTGATCAAAGGGTTCTAGTTATCTTTTCCATCCAAGATGATAAAGAGAACTGAAAAGACATTCTTGGCTGTCATGGAGTGGTGTCGCATATCATGGGGTGGAGCGCGAAGATGATGGCAAAAAGATCGATGACTTTTTTGGAGGTGTATATACATTGAAATTGGCGGGCTCAATGATGTTGAGAAGGAGAGGTAGTGTAAGACAAGATCAATATATTTCTTAATAGATCCGAACAAGTGACCTTTCGCCAACCTTTATTTCCTGCTTTTAAAGGTAAGGAGAAGTTGGAAATAGGAGTATTCATGGTGGATGATTGTGGGGAAGTTGGCAAGTTGTGGATCTAATAAATTGCCAAGTTTGTAATATTGTCATCGATGCCCTTTGTCATTGCCCTTATTGATGGGTAGCAGCATACTATTGCCTTCAAGGAGGTAAAGAAGAGAGGAGAACAAGAAGAACAAATGTTAAAAGATTTTGAGGAAAAAATTTACTTTCAAAGGACAAAAGAACGAAAGTGGTGCTAAAGTTACCCAACAAAAGTGGTGCTAAAGTTACCCTAACAATATTTTTGGCAAGAAAATTACTTTTTTGACATCTAACAAGAAATAATAACTATGAAACTTGAATAATCTCTGCATCACCATTCAAGCTCCCCTTAGACAATATCTCTTTGTGAGCAACTTAAATTTGGCTTCTAAGTTACATAGACAGGACTCAATTCATTCAATTATTTTTTAACTCACCAAAGTTCATACAACTTTTGTAAGTGGTTGATTCATGCTATCAAGCTCTCGAGGAATCAAATATTAAAAAAAAGGATCCCATTATTGCCTTTTTTTAGCAAACCATATATGATCTTGGAAGCTTCCTAAAATCACTGACTCCTATAGAACTCCAATTCATAAGCCATTCAAAGGCTGAATTCTCTCAAAAAGACGGGCATTTTGATGCCAAGCTCGCAACCTATCCTCATCATTTTTTAATAGATCTAAACCTAACCTGCAATTATTTTCAGAATTATTTCAAATAATCTAATTGTTTGATATTTTATTCATCAAGTTTATTTAACGGCAAAAGAGCTTTGCAATAATATCTGAGGGTGTAAACATGCCAGACATTAACGAACAAAAATCCATTTGATTCTAGTTAACTATTTATTTTAACTTTTTGTGACCATTAATATTTGATACTTCCTATTTATGTTTACTTCATTATTTTTCAACTTAGTCATATAAACAGACGATTAAAAGAGAATTAACTAGTATTTTGAAAACAATATGTAAGAGAATCAAATTCAACATCTCATCATATGGACAAAAAATACACCATGTTTTAATTTTTGCATTATTTTCATCAAAATGTGTAAGCATATTAAATATTTCATAATATATATCTTGATGAGTTTTTAACAATTCAAACACAAACGAACAAAGCTTTATTTATGTTTGATTCATTAAGAAATCAAAATTAAATATTATGGTCATGCTTTGCTTGTTACTTGAATAAAGAGCCATACAAGTTGCGTCAAGCAAGAGCTATTTAAGGAAACAAATACAAAATGTTCGCAAACATCAATCCAAATAGACACCCGTAATGATATTCTCTACTCAATCAACTACATCATCGACGACACTTGTCATGGGACTACAAACGAGCAATAATTCATTTGCTCATGTTTGGCCCTATTATAGTTGAGCCCTTTGTTCCAAACAGCCACAAGATCATTCAACTATTTTCAAGGTTTAACAAAAAAGGTGGCCTTGACATTTCCATGAAAGCTTCGACTTAGTATATTTTGATAAAAAGGGTCAAATGTCCTTTCCAAAGGTTTTATGTAATCTATATTTTTACACCAGGAAGATATTTGGATTGAGAAAAGAAATAAAAGCTTTGAAAGGAGACCCATCCTCACAAGAATCTCTAACTATATCAACGTCACAAAGTTGTGGACATTAAGAGGGGCAGTTTGCTTACCATTGAGATAACATCCAGCACAGCTTGAGAAGCAACCAAGTCTTGGTCTCCCACAAAACACACAAATCTCTTAATGGAAAAACCACAAAGAAACTAGTCCCAAAAAGAATCCTCAACTATTGAAGAAACAAAAAAAGCTCGCAGGGGAGGATTCTAACTTCTTTTTCAAACTGAATGAAGATTGAAATAAGAAGAGCCTTCTTGACCTAAAGTTTTAAAGTACGAGCAGACAAAAAAAAGCTCAACTTCTAAAAACAACTAGTTAGTCATAAGGATTAAGCAGAACCAATCCAATCTCAATAGCTATCATTTCGGTGACATTCATTTTGATCAAAGCTTGGAGAGAAATAGCAATCACATTGCCAACCCTGCAAGGGCACTAAAGGAAGAAGCAATAGACATTACCAAATCATAATCCATTAGCTCTGAGCAGAAGGAAAAGCAATCTAAACATGTTCAATACTTGACTCTTTACTTAACGTAGTCATCTAAGAAAGCTCATAGATAAATCATTGACACAGTCAACTCGCGGACAAAAGCGAGAGCCAAGACAGATAGAGCACGTTAAGCATACAAATTGTCAATAGAGAACAGAATGGAGTACTTAAAGGCTAGAAAAAAAAATTGCAAATCTCCATAAACAGGAAGACAGCCAACATAAATTCGAAGAGTTTAGCTAGGGATATTACCTCCTCGTCAGAAAGATGAACAGCCGGAATAGCGTCAAAGAATAGAGGGTTGATACCGAGCAAAATTGAATCCATAAAACTTCCAAAAACAATCTCTTAATCGCGGATTCAGCCCTGATGAGAACCGGAGTAGATAGAGGTGGATCGGGAACCATGTAAGATCAAATCCGACGCTATTAGAAAACCCCGGAGCAGCGACGCAACCAAACAGGCTTCTCAAGCAAGCACCGAACAAGCAAAAAAGCGGCGCAGGGAGCAGAGAAGGCTAGGGCTGGGCTATCGAAGGCAAGCAAGAGATGAGATCTGGTGGGAGGCGAACGGTGAAAAGGAGGAAGCCAGTCGATGTCCGCTGTGGGTGGCAGAGCAATGTAGGAGCCCGTGCGGGGCAAGGAAAGGTCGCGTCGGCACCAGAGTTCGCCGTCGGCAGGAGCGAACCGGCGGCGCAATAAATCGAACCGGAATTGTGGCGCAGGAACCAGGCGGAGGAGCGATGGGAGACGATTTGCTATGCAGCGTACTGGGAAGTATAACGGATAATTGTGCCGTTCAAAAGGGTTAATTTACATACATAGCACACAATTCTTATGTATTTGCATATCTCACCTCAAAACTTTCATATTTATACACATAGCTCTCAAATACTAAAATAAAATAGAAAATGTCACTATTATCACTTTGTGAAATTGAAATTCACCTTCTGATGCATAAGTTTAATATACCAAACTGCTATATATGTAAATTTGAAAGTTTGAGTGTCAGATATGTAAATACATGAGAATTTTGTGTTTTGTATGTAAATTTCCCATTATAAAATTGTGATTGTGAAAAAAAATGTAAATTATGCATACATAGCACAATTCTTATGTATTTATTGAATTACAAATGTGTATTTCATTTTTAAAAATTAATAATATTATTATTTTTATATGATATTAAAGATTTAACTGTTATTGCTGTAAATATGAAAATTTTGTTATGAGATATATAAATACATAAGAATTATGTGTCTAAATGCCCTAAAAATAATAATTAATTGCGAGTAGAGTATAAAAGTGGGCCAAACACAAATCAACTCTTGTCCAATTGTCAACACTTCTATTTTTTTGTCTAGATCAGATTAAATCACGAACTTAAATTTGTTCAACCAATCCAAATCTAACTCAACGACTACAAAATAACTTAATTTTGACCTAAATTTGAGTAAAAGTTGACTTCAATTTAACTCAAATGATTATTATGAATATATTAAACGGGTTATACGAGTTAGGATGGGGTCATTTGAGTTGAAGTCGGGTTGGGCTTAGATTTAACTTTCTGACACGTTTAATATTCAAGTATGGTTAAATAGTTTTGAGTTGGGATAATTCTTAGACAATTTTGAATTCGATTACTGCTTCCTAGTCTAGTTAGTTTTTTTTGCTACTGTTTATATATATATATATATATATATATATATCTAACACATAATTTGTACTTTATATCTATGTAAATAAACCTATGCTTATAAAACTTGTGTTTCATTTCTTAAAAGTAGTGATAATTTGATGTGATGCAAAAAAAAAAATAAATGCTATAAATATGAAAATTAACATTTAGTGTTGGATAAATAAATGCGTAAGAATTATGTGATATGATAGTAAATGTTCCTTATTTTTTTCAAGAAAAGTTAGCTTCCATTACATAATTTTCTTAAAAATAACAAAAAATGAAGTAGGTAAATAAATCTTGAACAGCGAAAAATAACTAGTGAAAAAAAAATATCAAATAATTAAAAAAAATACTACTTTTGGAGTGGCCTTTTGTATTATAACGACAGGGAGAGTGTGTGAACGAAGAGTGATGAGAATTAAAGACGTCCCATATTTTGTTTTCTTCGAGAGAATATTACGTATAGAGTTTGCATGCATGCGAATTTTGTGTGTTATACACTGTTGCACAACATTTTTTTACACGTAGTTCACATGCATTTGAACTCTGCACATAATAATTTTTATTATTATTAGAATAAAAATAATGATAACGGGTCATTCTAAATTAACAATGACAAATTACTAATACAAATTTTTAAATTATTTAGAATGGCGTCTTATGTCTATATTTTAGTTGATGAAAAGTGGTGATATTCTTTTATTATTATTAAATATTTATTTGTTATTTGTTATTTGTTATATTAAACCTGTTGGATTAGAAACTAACAATTAGTTTTGTTAATGTAATGATAAAGTCGATGTGTGTAAGAACATGTTATATAAGGTATAACCCCACAAAATGTGCATATTAAGGTAAAAATTAATCGACAAAGTAATGACTCTAAATATTGGATTTACCATATCAAATTTTTTATGGTATATCATAAAAGATAATACAATTTTATCAATATATTGCTTCATTTTTAATATTATTAGTATTTCGTTGTTATCTTCTAACTCTTAATGATACATCACTTTGTGTTTGTGACCCCAAACAAATATGCATATAGCTTATATAATTTATAATTTTTTATTTTTCTAAAAAATCTAATTAATACATTTATTTTATTATTTTTAATATAATTTATTCTGTGCAACAAAATTTATGACAATATAATAATAATTTAATATCTTTATATTGCTAAAAATTCAACATGCTGAGTTAAAATAAAAGTTCTGGGAGAGGACTCTAATTTTTTTTTTTATTCAGGTCCGATTAAAACAATCAATCATATATAATTTATCCGGTAAGCATGATAAGTAGTAGATTATGACACATTTTTCTCATGGACAACTAAAAATTGACAAAAAAGAAGATCCTTCCAAGAACTTGCAGAGGCAGAAACAGCCAAAGTATCGAAAAATTATTAGATGTGGAAGTACAAACATGATTTTCTTAGGTAAATTCATGAGTACAACTCATGAATAAAGCCAATACAATCATATTGTATTGAAATCCTCATGTATACATTGTCCGCATCTAATAATTGCTCCACAAATAACATCAATTACTGCGCACGCTCCTGATTACTTCCAGTGAAAAATCTTTATCAGCTTACGAATGAATGTAGCATCGTGATCCATGATAATGATTGAGCTAATGTAGAAAATACCAGCTCACTTTAGCTTTACTTTATTCAACTTGCAGTGCTAAATTGTTTAGAACGGTAACGAATAGCATGAAATGAAAGTTATAAATTTTATGATCTGTCTCTCTCAAAACTGGAAAAAATGGAGCATGTGGTGGCAACAATGGCAGATATCAAAAAGCTTCAATGATTTAGGCTCCATTCAATCCAGTTTTATAATCCGAAAACGACTACACCTGTTAAAATAAGTTCATTTGTCTTAATATGATCCCCCAATATCAAAAAAAAAAAAAAAAAAAAACTATAAGAAATTATTTTCCCCCACTCAATTTTAGTGGAGCATCACTGCTTATAAATCCGAAATTTTTATTCAAAACACCACAAATAAGAAATCCCTCATAACAATTCTCTGTAAACTCATCCCTACAATCAAGCAATACACATGATCAACAATGGCTATCTTCTTCTTCCCAAGCAAGTCCTCCATGGCAGCCTCTTTTCCGGCTTTGCCCCAACTCTTCAATCTCTCATCTATTCCCTTCACACAAAACCGATCCCCATTTAGCTCCAAAGCAACCATGAGCTTCTCCAACTGACATCACATAATGCCATCTACATTGCGTTTGTTGAAATCCACGGCTTAAATGGATCAAAATGCAAACCAACCGCGGAAATCAACGGCGGCCCGCGAGACTCCGGTATCCAAATCCTCACCTTCTTAGCCCCCACCGGCCGCTCGAGTCTGTGCAGCCTCTTGTACCCCACCGTCGTTCCATTCCCCACCACCACCTTCCCATCAACATAAATCTCATGCCTCCTAATCCTCTGCCCCATTGTTATCATCTCCTGTATCCTCACCACGTTAAACTTATCCGTCCTGTTCAGCCCTCGTAGCTCGATCCAATACCCTCCCTCTTTCTCCTCCTCTTCCGGCGTCCAATACGTCTCCTCGTCCCCGTCCACCACATTACCGGCCGTGAAGCCGCCGTGCTCGCCTCCCCATTCGCTGCTGGCCTTCACGGTCCTGTTTCGGGCCAAGTCGATATTGAAGATTTGATCAATTGCGGAGCGAAACTGGTGAAGCCTGTTTATGTCGGAGTTGGATACAAGGCCGGTGGTGTTGGGCGGCACGTTGAGCAGAAGCACGCAGTTGCGGCCGACGGACTTGAAATATATGTCGATGAGTTGGTTGAGCGGTTTTGGTTTCTCGGCGGCGTGCCAGAACCATCCTGGCCTTAATGAAACGTCGCATTCTGGGGGGATCCAATCGGTTCCTTTCGGATCGCCGGTGTTGAGGTAGCTGAGCGAATATACGGCAATGCAGGCTTATTTATTGAGTGAAATTATATGAGATATGCATTACATGATTAATATTTTTTTTTCTGTCATTTAGGCAGTTATAATTTTGCCTTTCCCCGAGGTTTGTTCCTAATACTTCGAATATTTAATTATTAGATAATTGTACCCACCCTTACAAGTAAAGCTAGATCAGCTCTGATGAGAAGTTTAAAATTCATTGCATATAAATGAAATTTTGGGGCATATATAAATATTTATGCTTCGTGTAAGAACAGAAATTTGTTGAGAATTGCTCTTTTTTTAATTGATTATAATGATTAGAGAATTGAGAAGCGATGATTCTCTGCATTGCACCTACCCTAACAACCGTGAAATTTTTTAAGAAGAAAATCCTCATAAAATTCAGAGAAATTCTTAAGAAATCGTCTTATATTTCATCAATAAAATGTAAGGTATTGTGTGGTCATTTTTATTTTTTATTATTACTCTTTATTTGACTGTTTAATTAAAATATAATTATTTTTTAAAAAATTCAAAACATTTACAAATTATTTAAAATACTTTTAGGCATAAAAAATAATTTAGCCTATATCATTTGGCATGTTTTCATCAATGTAAATAAGAAATAAATGTGTAAAGAATATTTGATTGCTCAATCACAAAGCGCCAGAAAACTGAACCAAACGAACCCTCAATTAAGCTCATAATCAGAGCATACCTCTCAAGGCTTGCGTCTCCGATTCGAAGTCTGGTGCGATTGATCGGCGACCAACAGGTTTCCCCTGCCGCCCCTTTCTCATCGCCGACCCATCTCAAATCCGGCCCGGCGTCAGAGAAGATATTAATCGACCCCTGCATCTGCTTCGTCATCCCGAACCAATCTTTAAAGTAATAAGTCATGTTGGTCGCGTTCGCCCCTTTGGCCCCATCGAACCATATCTCCGATATGCTTCCGTAATTGCCAAGCAGCTCGTAGAGCTGACCCAAGTAGTACTCATTGTAGGGCACGTTTAGGCCGTAGCTCTTCTCATGGCGATCCCATGGCGATAGATAGAGCCCGACGTCGATGCCGCGAGCACGAGCCACCGCTACAAAGTCACGGACGACGTCTCCCTTGCCGCCCTGCAACGGGCTGAAGGCGACGGAGTGGTGGGTGTACCGCGAGGGCCAAAGGCAGAATCCGTCGTGATGTTTGGCGGTGAGGATGACGAGGGAGACTCCGAGGGAGGCAGCAGCGGAGATCCATTGGGTGGTGTTGAGGGCTGTGGGGTTGAAGATGGAGGGTCTTTCGTGGCCGGTGCCCCACTCGGAATCCGTGAAGGTGTTGATGCCGAAGTGGTAGAACATTATGATCTCGCGCCGCTGCCATTTGAGCTGCGAGGAAGACGGAACGGGGAGGACGGGAAGGGGTGGCGGTGAAGGTTTGGATATGGAGGGTTTGGATTGATAGAGAAGGATTGCGAGGAAGAGAAGCATGAGTTTTCTCATGCTTGCTCTGCTTTTTGCCTTCTCTGTTTTCGACCTTTAAGATGAGTTTGCGAAGGATGTTTGCTTGTGGCGAGGGAGGGGACGGAAGGAAGTGGAATTGTTAGGCATAAGAGATATTTTATAACAAATAATGCTACTAGAGCTCTTAAAGAAAGAAGGAAAAGATATTGTTCAATGTAGAGCCCGGTTTCTATAATAATATTCTATATTGCTGTTTATATGAAGTCTGGCTGCATTGGAACTCCGTAGATGATATTCTCATTTGAATGAGTGATGTGAGAACCTACTAAATCTTAAATGAGTAGGCCAAGGATTGATCGAGAAAAGAAATGATTTGTGCGGTTATTTTGTTAAAATAATAAAGTTAAAAATCTCCACATTCTATTTTAAGTAATTGGTTCAATTTTGATTTTATTTAATCAAGTAAATGAAAAAATAAATTAAATAGTGGATTCGCTAAATTAACTTTATGTTATACATGTAAGATGTGTAAGTCTTGATGTATGTTCATAATGGAGTTCCTACTAACAACTAAATTTTGGTGTCGTCGTAAACGAGTTCTTTAAACTAAAGTAAAATTTTGTTATGTGGGTTCAATGCTATCAAATTTTTATTGTTTCGGTTGTTTGAATTTCAAATTTTAGCTGTAATTAGTGTGATTAATTTGAAAACCGATCTATGAAAGCCCATTGAATGCTCGCCCCTAATTTCGGCAGCAGTTTTAGGTTTCAGTTTTTCTAATTTAGTGGATTTTGGATGATTTAAATTTAATTCTTGAGTATTGTAGTTTTGATTAATTTTATAATTTTTAATTAAAACTAAATAATTTTGACTAAATTTCAGTAATTTTTTGAAGAAATTAAAATTTTCATCGAAGATTAATTTATTTCAGATAAGAGACCAGATCTTGAAGTCTTGATTTCAGCAAACGACATAAAATGAAGCAAAAAATTATATCGAGATCATGCCCATATTATTCTAAGTAAATTTATCAGAATGAGACATGCCGAATAAAAAATAATTTTTTATTGATATTACATAAGTTTTAGAGTCTGTTTGGAGCTGCGGTGCGGCAGCCCGTGCCATTTGGGTTGTTTGTTTGGTGCAACTCCGGCGCAGTTTAATGGCCCGTGAAGCCACACCACGATCCGATCGTAGATTATTTCGTGTTATATAGTGATTTTTTCTTTCGTGTATTTTTCTTACGCATGGTAATTGTCATAATATTTGGAGTGTGAAGGAAAAAAAATTATCATATTGCTTGATATGCTGACATATCAATTTCCGAAGTAGGTGCAGATTATGGTGCCCACAATCGCTATCCATAACTATATCAAACGTCATCATTCGCGCAATGAAGTGGACTTCAACAGGGCTGATGTTGATCATTTACATGCCTCGTCTGAAGCATTTGAATATAGCATAAGACCTTTTATATCACAGGCAGAAGTTGAATCACCTAAGGGTTGCACACAGGAGGATGTCGAAGGTTTCGGGGAAATGATGGAATTGAGAGCTGATTACAGATGTCATCGTTGGATATTGAATGAATTGATTGTATTTTTTTTTCCTTATTGCTACTTTATTTACAATAGATGGTGAAAACTATTATAGTTTGTTGTCTCGTTGTTTTATCAAATCATTTAAATTTTAAATCTCAGTTTTATTTCTTCGCTCCCTCCTCACTTGGATGACCAAAGAGGCAACTGTGAACATAATATGGTATATAAATATTTTTTGGATGTTTTTTTAAGATCAGTGATGAGACATTCAACCTTAAGAGTTCTTCTAGATGACCTATTTGTCCCAACCGGTTCTTGTCAAATGTGAAATTCCAATGAAAACAACTAAGATCCTCTCATTTTTTCAGTGTCATAGTTTTTTGAGACTCTTCTAGATACCTTCTTTTTTGGTGGTATGCATATATGACACATTTGTGATTTAAAGACAACTAAGAACCCTTTTTTTAATGATCTGTTGTCTTTTGGAAGTTATAGATTTGTTGGTTTATGCTATGTTTTTCTGAGACCTCAGGGTTTAGTAAAACTGGCATTGTTAAATTACAATTTTTTTCACCGATAATATTGCATCTAAATATTTGTGCTTTGTAGTGTTAAGCCTTAAGAAAAGAAGAGTTTGATGACTTCCGGTATTTCCAGATGATCGCACTGTTACTATGAACTATCATGCTCCTTGCTTACTTTAGGACAGTTATGTAGCTACGGGAGATAATTTTATGTGTGCCCGAGGAATCGACAGCTGATAATGATCGGAAGTGACGAGTTTTCCTGAAGAATGACTTGTCTCGTGACCTGCACCGGCTGCAATTTAAAAATAATATTATCATATTATTGATTGTAATTTTATTTGTCATTTTCTTAATTTTGATAGTCACACTGCTCACTATTACGAGAGTTGTTTATTTTTATTTTGCAATACTCAAACTAGATATTTGCTTTCAATTATGGGATGAGCTAACATGAATACTTCCGTTGTAAACAACACTACAGTAAAGTGACAAAATGGTCATTTGTTCAGAAACAACTGCAGTACAGCTATTTTCAAATTGCAAAATCAAACAGATAACGAGTTTATTCGCAGCAATTTCTTGCCAAAGCTGTTGTGTAACTGTTTTTAATAAGTTGCAGCTGCCCCAAACAAGCCCTTTGTTGCCCTGAACATCAACTTAGATTTCTTTTTTGGGCAAATTTACATACATTTCACATATTTTTTATACATTTACATATATAAAACTTAAAATTTGTTATTTACATTATAACATCTCACTATTAAAAAATTATGCATAAAAAAAGATGTATTTCACTTTTAAAAAATTATGCATAATAATATTTTTAGTATGATATCAAAGACTTGAGAGCGATTTATATAAATGAGTTAAGATGTTTAAATATGTAAATATATAAGAATCTTGTGGTATAATGCTATGTATGTAAATGTCTTTTTTCCAAAAAAGAAATTAAAAAAAAAATGTTTCTAAAACGAACTCCTCAGAGAAACGTTTTTATTATTTCTATGTATGTCCCCGATCTCCACGCACGGCCTTCAATTCCTTTCCGTCTAATGTTTTTCTTAAAAGGACATTCAAAGCAATTTCTTTCTAGACTTATGCGGAAAATAAAGCATAAATTTAAAATAATGAGAAATTTACACGGCCACACAATTCTCATGTATTTACATATGCCCCACCTAAATTTTTATATTTACATACATACACAACACATTAGTGCTTTAATTCCACAAATAAAAGCATTTATTTCACTTTTAAATAATGTTAATAGAGATTTCTTCATGTGATATTCAAAAATTGAGTGTTATGTGTGCAAATATGAAAGTTTAGGTGTGAGTTATGTAAACACAAAAGAATAAAGCCCCCAAAATCATTCGCTTTTCATGAGCACAATTCTTCATATATTATCATATCCACCAACATGCAAATCAATTTGTTCTACTTAAAATTTCTTACAATGAATAAAATATATTTTACAGAAATTTGCATACGCAGCACCCAATTCTTACGCATCTATCTATCTCACACCCAAACTTTCATATTTACAAAATCAGCACCGACTGTTGGGAAATGGTGTAAAAGATAAATTTGGAAACATAAATCCTAATCGTTGTATTCCATAGTTATCAATTAAAATTTACATAACTTTATGCAATTATATATTGAGAATCATAATTCTATATTAGTATCATAAATAAAAAATATTTGTAAAATAGCATAAATATTAATACAAATGAAAAAAAGGATTAAAGTTAAGGAAGCTGTTAATTAATGGAGTTCACATGCTGGCTTGGAGTTCACATGTTGGCTTGTTGTTTGCGTCGGCGAAGTGGAAGCCAAGCCACGAGGACAAATTTTATCCACATGAAAAGCATGGCAAGGACCGTCAGCTTTGTTTTATTCCTTCTTTTTTTTGGTTGGCCTTTTGCCTTGTGTTTTTATCTTAACGTTAAATAAATAACAACAAGTTTAAGAAAATGATGTGCTCGAATGCGATGCTGCCTGGAGCCAGCAACAGTTTGGCTAAAGGAGGTATTCATCATCTTTTACATTGTTATTAAAATTTTTAATATCATATAAAATACTTAAAACTTTTTTTTTTCTTAATATATACACATTTAATAAAAAAAATATTGATTAAGGTATGGCAGAAATTTTCATTGGTAGTTTAAACTTTAAAGAACATGTTGAAATTAGCCAATCCGCACTGGCCCTCTCTGATCGATCATCTCAATGTGACCCGTGAGAAATATGATCATGTTAGGTGCACGGATGTTAATTATAAAATATGTTATCTCTGATATAGTATTCTCATGTTGTATTTGTTATTTATGTACATTTTACATTAAAATGATGGGAATGTAAAAGACTATCTTTTTTCATAGAGAGAGCTTAGAACACTCTCCATTTTAGAACACTCTCCATTTTCTATTGCTTTCTATCTCCCTTTTGTGATTTTTCATTGGGTGTGATTCATGGATATTTATGGGTTCTACATTTATATTTTAAATTTAATAGATGTGTGCTAGAAGATTCTCAATTGTAGAGAATTCAGCACACACTTAAATGAAAGAGAACAACCAGTGGAGACACACCAGAAGCTTTTACTTGAAAAACCTGTAAAAGAGTAAAATCACGGGACCTGACCCAGTTAAAGAGATCCGCCTTAAACTGGAGATTATAAATACAATAAATTATCCCACAAATTGGAAAGAGTTACACAATCTTCTCAGCTACAAAGTCGGTGCATAGATGAACTTGTCGTAAGAAGTGAGCGGCGAGTGCTGGTAAGTGACTGGTCGTCGACGACGACATGATATTGGATTTTTGCTCCTTCACTAAGCCTTAGTCTTCAACCTAAAGATGTTCCTTTAATCATACACATTTAATGAACATTTGAGTATCTTAACGATGTCGAAATTGAGCGCTCTGGGGCTCATTGGATACGTCTAATCAAGACACTCGATTCAACAATGTACTCACCAGATTCGACATTTGTTTGACTTTTCAAATATGTCCAAAAAGCTTTCAAAAGTAATTTAATTGCTTGATCTAAGCTTGATTTAACTCTAATTAGACCAATATCAGTATCATTGGGTCAGTATCGTCGAGCCAGACAGTTTGACCATACGTGTGTTGAAATCGGAGCTCCAGATAACTCTTAATC